GGGGCCCCAGGGCCTCCTTTTGGGGCCCCCCTTGGCCAGAAGGGGCCCCCAAATGACCCACGCAGCAGCAGCAGCAGCAGCAGCAAAAACAAGTTAACCAAATTTGAATCCAAAACAACGAAATAACCCAAAAAAAGACACAAATAATTTATTCCCATTCGCTGCTGCTGCTCCAGGGCCCCAGGGGGGCCCCCCCAGGGGGCCCCCTGGGGAGCCCCCCATGGGCCCCTTGGGGGCCCCCTCGAGGGCCCCGAGGGGGGCCCAGTAAAGGAATAAAATTGAGGCGAAATCTGTAATTATAATTTTTTGTTTTAACTGATTTTTAATTCAATTTATTGAGTTATTATAAGTGTTATTTCATTCGTTGGATTGACGGAATTAGATTGTCTTCTTTATTCACTTAATGAATTAATGCTTTCAATTGATTAATTCATTGAATTGATTTAATTAATCAATTGGTTTATTAAATTAATTAATTTAATTAGATTAATTAATTCAATTAAATTAATTAATTGAATTAATTAATTCAACTAATTTAATTGATTAATTCAACTTTCCATCCTGTTGCAGCTGCCAGGCCAAGGGAGAGGATTCTGTGCTTCTAGTGCCCGAGGGTTTAGGGTTAAGGGCTTGCTGCAGCAGCAGCAGCTGCTGCAGCAGCAGGAGATGCAGCAGCAAGAGCTGCAGCAGCAGCAGCAGCCCTGCTGCCCCACTTCAGGTCTCCCTTTGGGTGTGCAATAGAACCTGCTGAGGTGTATATACAGCTGTTGAGGTGTACATACACCTCAGTGTACAATAAGACCTGCTGGGGTGTATAGACACCTGCTGCTGCTTCTGAGCTGCGAACTGCAGCAGCAGCAAAGCCAAATGAAAACCCTAGAGGCGCTCGAGGGCCTCGCTCAACTCCAAACCCTAAACCCTAAGCCCTAAACCCTAGAAGGAGGTAAATTACATTCTGAGTCCAGCCGTTTCGCTGTACTGGATAGACAGGCCAAGGTAGGCCGGGTTCGAGGTGTCTGTACACCCCAAATCCTTTGGGCCCTTCCCCTCCGCGGCGGCCCAAGTGCCCCGCCGGCCCTCCAGCCCCGCGCGTGACCAGTGGTCACCTGCGGGGTGACCAGTGGCCAGGCGAGGGGTGACCAGTGGCTGCTGGACTGACCAGTGGTCACCTGCAGGCGCATGCAGTGGTGCAGCGGGCTGGCGGCGCGAGGGCGAAGCTCGGGGGCCCCCAGGACCAGGGGGGCCCCCTGAGGGCACTAGGGAGAAACGCAGCAGGACTGCAACAAATGAAAACTGTTCTGCTGCCTTTGGAGCGCTCGGGGGACGCGGGGTGTACGTACACTGGGCAGTCAGCGAACGCTGCTGAGGTGTACGTACAGCTCAGCAGCAGCGAGCTGGCGCCGTCGCCGCTGCAAAGCGAACCGGCTGCTCAAATAGTCTCTCGAAAGGACTTTATAAATATAATTAATAAAATAATTTGAATAAATTTACATTTATTTCCTTAAATGCGACTTTCCTCTTTCCTAAACCACCAAACACAACCACCTGCGCCGGCCGGCGCTCATGCACGCCGCCACCTCCGACACGCGAACACGAACATGTTCGGAAACGCAGGCTTTCGAAGATAAATAGAAAATAAATAAAAGAAATGAAAAATATAATTATAAATGGAAAAAGAAACTCAATTGCATTCATCTGGAGGCGCAACACGAGCGCCCGTCAAGTGCGGCGGCTTCAGCTGCTGGGAACTTGGACTTTCGCAAAAACTGATAAACATAAAAGTGCATTTAAATCCACTTCTACGCTAATAAGCTTTATTATATTAACGCAAAGAGACGCAGAAGAATAAATGTGGAGAAGAAGTGGTTTGAGCAGAAGACAAATGCATTACTCAAGTGTACGTACACCCCAAACACCTAGTCCTCCATTTTAAGGACTTCCAAGCGCATAATGCATCATTTTGAAGATCTAATGCGCGCATGCATGCAGCAAACAGGACATCTATTTCATTTGAGATCAATTACAAATAAATGCAATTCATTTTCTTCAACTTCGGAACTGCTGCATGCACTCTGCAGCTGCTTCGGCCTGCTGCTGGGCCAGGCGCGGGGCTGCGGCTGCCGGCCTTTCTGGGCCCCTTCTCAAGCGAATTTCTCCTGCTTTCATCATTTTAATTCTTTTTATTTATTTATTTGTCCATTTATTCCATTCATTTAATCCATTTTTCATCCATTTATTCCACTTAAAAGGCCCACAATCGCCGCCCCCTCCCCCCGACTTCGCTGCGCTGCGGCCTTGCATTGCAGCTGCCCAGACACTGCGACGTCCTGCAGCAGCAGCTGCAGCAGCGGCTGCAGCAGCTGCAGCAGCGGCTGCAGCAGCTGCAGCAGCTGCAGCAGCTGTAGCAGCAGTTGCTGCAGCAGCAGCTGGTGCTGCTCACTTATCTTTTTGTTTGCTGCTCTCCTTGAGGCCCGCTGGGTCACTCAGGGGAACAAAATCCGCGACCAGCGACAAATGGTCAGAGGCTGGCCACCACTGCAACAAAACAAATCAAAAAATAACAAATAAATAAATAAAAATAAGAATCAATAATAATAATAATAATAACAAATAGAATGGAATGAAGGGGAAGCAACAAAAAGCCCCGCCAAGTGCTGATGGGAAGCAGCGCAGCTAGAAGAAATTCAAAGCAGCAGCAGCAGCAGCAGCAGCAACAGGAAACTGCAGAAAGCAGCAGCAGCAGCAACAGCAGCAAAAGGAACCAGCGGCAGCACCACCAGGACCCGCAGCAGCACTGCGACGAGGCGCAGCAGCACCACTGCACTGCAGCTAAACGCTGCAGCAGCAGCAGCAGCAGCAGCAGAAGCAGCAGGAGCAACAGCAGCAGCAGCAGCAGCAGCAGCAGCAGCTCACCTCATTGGGGCAGGAGCCAACTCGTCCTTGTCTGAGCATGCTCGGCAGCTGATACACTTGAGCTACCTGTGACCAAAACAAACACTAAACCCTAAACCCTAAACCCTAAACCCTAAACAATATTAGAAGCAGCAGCACTGAGCCACGGGGCAGCAGCAAAGCTGCAAACAACGAAGGCATTAGCAGCACCAAAGACAGCAGCAGTCGCAGCACCCTGGGCGTATCTCGCAGCAGCAGCAGTAGCAGCAGACCAGCAGTAGCAGCAGAACAGGAGCAGCTGCAGCAGCAGCACCAAACCAGCAGCAGCAGCAGTAGCAGTTGGATGCAAGGGCTCCGCAAGGTGTCTATACACCTGAGGGAGCAGCAAAATGAGAAACAAAATGGAAAATAAAAATAAAAAAAAATTAAATTAAAGATTTAATTACCTGCAAGTTATCTGATTGATAAAATATATAATCAATGCAGCCCTTTTGCCATCCGTGAAAAGCTGTAAAGGCTGGCTCCTCCACAAAGTCCCCAGCTGTGCTGCTGCTGCTGCTGCTGTTGCTGCTGCTGCTGCTGGGGCTGCTGCTGCTGCTGCTGTTGCAGTTGCTGGGGCTGCTGCCGTAGTTGCTGGGGCTGCTGCCGTAGTTGCTGGGGCTTGTGCTGTATTTGCCGGGGCTGCTGCTGCTGCTGCTGCTGGGGCTGGGGTTGCTGCTGCTGCTGCTGGGGCTGGGGGTGCTGCTGCTGCTGCTGGGGCTGGGGGTGCTGCTGCTGCTGCTGGGGCGGGGAGTCGCCGCGGGGCCCCAGAGGCCCGCCTGCGGGGCCTCTGGCCCTGCCTCGCAAGCAGCAGCAGCAGCAGCAGCAGCAGCAGCAGGCAGCACAGCTGCTGCTGCTTGCTGCTCCTTTCCTTTCCACTGCGCGTCAGTGGGGCGAATGGCATAAGCGCTTTTGAGGGCGAAGGGTAGAGACACTACAAAGGGGTCTTCCGCTTTTAGCTTCCCCTGCTGCTGCTGCTGCTGCTGCTGCAGTTCTTGCTGCTGCTGCTGGAGATCCTGCGGCTGCAGCTGCTGCTCAGGAGATGCAAGTGGGGACTCTTGCTGCGAGGCGGCAGCAAGAGGATCCGCGGGGCTCTTGCTGCCGTTTGCCTCGCCGTCCTGCTGCTGCTGCTGCTGCTGCTGCAGCTGCTGCAGCTGCTGCAGCTGCTGCTGCTGCGTGTCAGAGGAAGGGCTGTGGGCTGCAGGCGCTTCTGCCGCAGCTGCTTGCGGCACAGCTTCTCCTGGAGCTGCTGCTGCTGCTGCTGCTGCAGCTCCCGCTGCAGCTCCTGCTGCTGCTGCTGCTGGCTGCCTAAAGAGAGCTCTCACGGACTTCTCCCAAGCAGCAACAGAGCCCCTCGAGATTTGAGTTAAAGCGCGAGAGGCCTCTGGGGCACTAAAGAGACAAAAATAAAAAAAGAAAATAAATAAAAATAAATAAAAATAAATTAAAAATAGAAATAAATCTAAAATAAATTAATTCAGAAATTAAAAAGAAATAAAAAAGAAATTAAAAGAAACAAAAATGAATAAAAGATGAATAAATGTGATAGAAATAAAAATGGAAACAGGAGGGAAAAAAGAGCCAAAAAAGGGAAAATAAGGGCAAAAACAGAGCAGAAAAATGCCAAAATGAGATTTAAAAATGAGAAAAAAGGGAAGAAAAAAGAAGAAACAAATAGAGACAAAATGGGAGGCAAAAAGATTCAAAAAAGAGACAAAAAGACTTTGAAAAAAGGGACAAAAAGAGCCAACAAAGGGACAAAAAGGGCCAGAAAAGGGACAAACAAAGTCCAAAAAGAGTTAAAAAGAGCAAAAGTAGACAGAAAATTACCAAAGTGAGACGAAACAGTGGGACAACAGACGGAAAAAGGGAAAAACAAAAAGGGATAAAGGAGGAGACAAAAAGAGTCAAAGAAGAGACAAAAGTAGCAAAAAAGGGACAAAAAGAGTCAAAAAAGGGACAAAAAAGGTCAAAAAAGAGACAAAAGAGCAGAGACCAAACAGTGCCAAAAGGAGACCAGAGAATGGGACAAAAGGCGGGAAAAAAGCGAAAATAAAAAGAGACAAAATAGGAGACAGAAAGAGTCAAAGAGGAGACAAAAAGACTCTAAAAGAGGGACAAAAAGAGTCAAAAAAGGGACAAAAAGAGCCCAAAAAGAGTTAAAAACGGCAAAGTAAACTGCAAATCACTTCATTGCGGAGGCGCCTGCGAAGTGGTGGCCCTGGGGCCTTATGGGGTAAGTTTTGGAGGACATGAGGAATTGGCCTGAGACAAAAAGGCGCAATTAAATCCATTCGATCCATTTTAATCCACTTTAATCCCTTTTAGGGCACTTAAATGCACGAAATATCTTCAATCTGATTTAAAATAATCATAATTCAGAAAAAACGAGCCATAAATTCGAAAAATTGGAAAAAAGGATCCAAAAGAAGTAGACGGTAAGTGAGGGCAGCAGCAGCAGCGCAGCAGCAGCAGCAGCGCAGCAGCAGCAGCAGCAGCACCTGAGAGCTTGTCTTTGGCGAGCTGGGAGAAGTTCATTTGGCCCTGCAGCACCAAGTGGTAAAGGGGACTTTGTGGGGTGAAGTTGAAGTCTCCGCATGCAACAATATGGACAAGTTTGTTTGCTGCTTCCAAAGTTGCTGCTTCCAGTCCCTCCACTTCTGCTGCATAAGTGTCTCCAAGTGCAGCAGCCCACTGCAGCAGCCGCGCCTTTGCTGTTGCTGCTCCTGCGCCGCTGCAGCACAGCGTCCGCGGCTGCGCCTCCCCCGCCGCCGCTGCTGCTGCTGCTGCGGCGCGGCGGCTGCTGCTGCGCTGCGGCTGCTGCCCTCACT